GTCCCCACCTGAACTGTTGATCTGAAAATGTAAGTGCTGATATCTGCATCCTGATCATACCTCTCAGCTACATGTGAATTTACGCTAATCTTCACGTAAACGATTGCCTCCACTAGCTAGCGTGCGCATACTACAAGATATCTCCTTACTCTCTTGCTTAACTCTCGGTTACTCTCTTAAACACTTGATAGTGCTTGATTTTTCATGACCAATTACTCATAGAAATAATATATAAATACTAGAGGGTGAATTTGAGTGAAAAGTGAGGTGAAAGACCACTTCCCATAATCATACGCTTTGATGGTAAAATGTCCGCCTAATCATCGTGCTAGGTGGCCTTACATTAGCTTAGTCACCATGCTTGTGGGCTATTTAAATGCCATGTGTCCTAGTAATGATGAAAAGTCAAAATGTACATTACTGCACATGACTTTCAGTAAAACATGGCTTAGGAAAATTAAGCACAATTGATGCTAAGCAAATCATGCACAACGTACTAGCAATGACGTGCGCATAATCGGGCGATTAAGCTAATCAAGCTACTTAGTACATGATTAGCCCTAAACATGATTACTTTAATTAATCCTCATTAATGTTAATTAATCTTTATTAATATTAAGCTAATCATGATTATCTTTAAGCTAATTATGATTAATTAGCTTAAACATAGATTAAGTTAATTAAGCAAAAGTTAATGACCATTGCTTAATTAATGATAGACGGTGTACCAATGTGAACACACCGCTGTATAAGAAAACTGAACTTGACATAAGAAACTTTAACTGAACTAACCATCGGAAAATTATTCCGAACATGAACATGACATTCGAAAGTTAATTCGAACATTCTTGACTTGGACGATTAATCCGAAAATTAATATTCCGAATAATTCGTCACTTTAACTTATTAATTCCAGACTCATTAACTAAGTAAATGAATCGGAATTAAATCTGAAAACTTATTCGATTATTAATCGAATAACATATCGACTAATAGTCGAACTTAGAATCTGATTGACTGATTTGCTGAACTTGAACATGAACAGAACTATTTATTAACAAAGGCTAGCTTAATATTAAAAGCTAGTAATTCCTTTATTAATAAAACTCGGGGTGTTACAGTATACCACACGGCCTTAAGCAAAATTCCTCACTTAGCAAAATTTTGGAAGAATTACTATATGGCTACGGCATTTCTTACATTAATTAGGGAAATTCATACCAATGCTCACGGCTTAGTGCCCTAAGAATGATATTAATCCCATATAATTTCTAAACTTTATGTTTAACTATTAATTAAACATAATGCTTAATTACCAAAATTATTTCGGACGTAAACGGTACGTCGAAAATAGATTTCGGTAATCCCGACTGAACTTAATTAATTCCGAAAATAATAAACGATAACATTATTATATCAGAATTAAACGTAATCTTGTTCCGATAAAATATCGGGTTATTACAATCCTCCCTCCTTACAAAATTTCCGTCCTCGGAAATTCAAAACATAGCTGAATACATGA